AGCATAAAAGCAGCTTTAAAGCTACCAGAACTCTTTCCATCCCTCTCTCCCTTCCCATTTGTGCAAGGCAACATCTGAAGCACACTTTTACCTCCAGATGTCAGGACATTCGTAAGAGACTTGGTGCTTGTATGTCCTCTGTGGGATATAAGCAGAAACAGTACCTAGACAGGAAAGTGTTTGAATGTTAATGATAGGACAGTGCTAAAAAACACTTTAAAAATACTTCCCTGCTTTTTGCTGGGGAAGTCTCAATTTGTTGGCTGCCTCTGGCTTTTTGCCCAGTATCCTCAGATCTACTGATGAAGGGAGACAGCAACACACGTTTGTCCTATTCCTCTTCCCCAGCGTGAGATGCTAGACTGGAGCAGATATGCCACCATTCCTGTTCTTAAGGACACACCACAGAGGGGATTACAGTCTCCTTGGCCCTTCCCTACACCTGCCCTGATATATTCAGTAGCCCTGGGCAGGGCTGAGTTACGCCTCATTCACCAGGAGCCATTGGAAGCACAGCTAAGTGGTGTGAGCATCTCCACAAATCCATTGGAGCGCTCCCGAAACAGGATACACATGCACAGTTAGTCCCAGGCGTGCAAAATCCCTTCCCAAGTCCCCTCACAGCATCGCCCTGGGTGGACATCAGAGACGTCCTGGGAGCTTCTTGCAGGAGAAGGGCTTCGCATCGAGCATCCCTGGTGAAAATTTGACTTCCTATCTTGACATGCACTGTTCCTGCTCCTTTTTTTTCATAGGATTGGCTGCATTTCTTTTGCACTGGATGCATGGTATATAAAGCATTTAGGACGAAAAGTCTATAGAAGTGTGATACTAATAATATTTTACAGCTTTAATTACCATGATTGTAGTGCCTAGAGGCGTATGCAAAAACATTTTGAGTGGGAGGAGAGGAGGCAGCGCTGTGAACATTTTTGTGGTTTTGCTGGGCAATGTGCAATGGAGTTTTCTCATGGGAACCACAGCATGCCAGGGAGAAAAGCTGCCTCTGCCTCCTCGTCTGCTCCATTGGGATACTGGATCACACCCCAAAGCCGAGGAGACAACCACATCATTCCAGTTTTAGGGAAAAGCTGGGCTGACCGACACTCTGCTTTGTAGAGGGGCTCCGGGGGCAGGTGCTGCCCGTTTCTGCAGGCAACAGGTATTTTTCCTTAGGCAACATCCCTTCTGTACAGCGAGCAGCAGCTTCACCTGCAGGATGATTTTAGGATTGGGCAAGTGCTGATTTGGGGCACAGATTTGCCAGCAGCCTCGGGAGCAGCATGCCTGTTCTTGGCCAGGGCGTGCAGCGCAGACGGAGCCCTGGCTCCCGCGGGCCGCCCACCCGTCCCTGCCGAGCCTGCGTGGGCAGGGGCAGAGGGGAGGGGATGGACAGAGGGGCCTTGTGCCCCACGCCAGGCTCCACTGTCAGCAGGCTTAGAGCCACCAAGCGTCACAACTAACTCAGGAACAGGAAAATACGCTGTGCAGGAATGCAAGTTTTTAAAAGTTTGGGTGTTACAAAATAAAAAGGGTATAAAATAAAGCCACTTGCGTTTCTCCAGCTTCTGAATGCAGTCCTGAAAACTTAGAAAACTTTTCTTTAAACTTTGTACCTAGATCATATATTAATTTTTAGAGGTATTTATGTAGTTTTGGTGACAGTGATTTGCCATAGGTTCCTTATTAAGATGCTACAAAGCCAACAGCCTCCAACTGGAAAAACTGAAGGAGAAATTCAATTTTATCTGACATGGTTACCAAAGAGTCAGTTCACAACTCTGCTTCCTGCCTGGCAGGACCCTGCTCAGACAAACAGCCAGGAGGTACAATGGAGTCTTCTGATAGCCAAGGTATGGATGGGAAGGCAAGGAAAATGGAAAGTAAACCCTGTGTGAAAGCCATTCCTGGCTCTGGGGATGGATATTGGCCTAAAAGACAAGCATATTTTATTGAGGCTTTTTTCCCTCGCTTACTAATTTTCCCTCCGTTTATTCCTTTTTTTTCCTATTGTTATCTGCACTAAATATGACTTAATTTATTAGTTACTACTTAATTTACCACGTATTACTTAATTTATCACTTAAATATTACTTACTTAAAAGCTGGCAGCTTAATCAACTCTCCCTCCATAAAATAAATACACGGTATCACTTCTCCCTGCTTGAATTGATACTTGGCGTTTTGCACCGCTTTGTGTACAGCTGTGTTTTGCACCCCGGGCCGGCCCGTCCCGACACCGCCCCCGGGGCCGTGTGCCCGCAACCCGGCGGAGTCCGCGCCGCCCGGTCACAGCCCGGCACTGAGCGGAAAGTTTGAAACGGCGTTTTCCCCCGGGGGCGGCGGATCCCGGGGGGTGTCCCCGTCGGTGTCCGGGGGGTCCCGGGGGTGTCCCGGTCAGTGTCCGGG